TACTGCAGGCAGTGCATAGCCCCCTCCTTCAGAGGAGCAGGTGGATTCAAACCAGACAGTCCAGACACTGTGGATTGTTTTCGTTTGTCATTTTCTCCGTCTCTCTTGTGTTCTCTCTCCCCCCCTCGTTTCTTGACCTTTCGTAGCCAAACGTGGCTTCGCTTTCGACATACGCTTTACGCCGTCCATATATGCCTCATGTCTTTTCTTTCGGAGCACCTGAGCAGTAAATTGCAAAAGCGCTTGCACAAAAACACCGGTCAAGCTATTTGTGATATTTGGGCTTGTTGTCTTGGTTCGCTTTGGTTCGCGCCACGTTCCGTACTACAGCAGTCTGTGTTACCGCACTGATACGCTCGACAAGCTGTGATGGCGCCAGGGTAGGTGGGTTCGTGAGCTTCTTCGGCCTTTGACCTGCCCTGTTGTGTCGTTGAGTTTCTGCGAGTTGCTGCGTAGGACTTTGTTCGTGCAGTTTTCATGCAGGCGGCGTGGCGTCACTTTGCAGCGCTGCAACCCTTCGTGCCTTCCTTACCCTCTTGGCAGTTTTCTGTTTCCTATTTTGCATCTTTCCTCACTCACATCGTAACAGGAAGGAGGGAGTGGAGACGCTTTTATCGCCCACTTCTGCATCGTGCATTAGTTGCGCTTTTTGGCTCCATCTTTCGTTTCCGTCCTCATTTGCTCTTTCCATCTTGACTGGAGGACGACACAGCGAGACTCCTTTTATTATTGTCATTTTTTTCTTTCTTTTGTACAGCACATATGCAACAAACATATTTTATCGATTTTATCGATTACTGCCTCACTTTTTTTTTTTTCCCTCGCTTCGTCCTTTTCTCCGATTCTGCACCGTTCAACGGTCTGACCTGAATGTCCATCCTTTCCTTGCACAATATTCTGCAGTTCTGCAGGTCCTCGGTCGTCTTGTCATTCGTTTTCGTGCGTTGTCGTTCCCCTTTGAGCAGAAAAGTTGCTCTACTTATCGCCCTCTCACACAAGCTCCCATCTTTCTTTCCCTGTTGTTCTTTCCCTCTCTCGCTTGTCCCCGTCCCATCGTCCGTCGCCCCTACCCTCCACCTCTTTATCCCCTGTTGATTTAGCGTTGACTGGTGTCCTTCCTGCGAAGATCGCCCGCTGGTCCATCCGCTCATCATTCCCGCCGTGGAGCCAAGGTCTCTTTCCTCTTTCAGGGGAAGACCGTCTGAACGACTGCAGTCAGTGAGATGCAACTTCCTTCCTGGTACTGTCGCTCCCAACACGGAAGGGAGTGGCCAGATCTGGCTCTCCTCACAAATGCCTCGTTGCTTTTAAACCTTTTTTTGCATGGAGTGGAATTGAGTACACTGTTTGCACAGACCAGGACGAGGTCATTTCGCTCTCAATATTTGACGCCTTTTCATCTGTCTCATCTAAACGTTGGACGCTTTGTCTGTAGTCGGATATCACTTCTTTGGGTCAGGCCAGGGCAGGCCAGGGCAGGCCAGGGCAGGCCAATAATACGCACTGGACTCCAAACGGCCGAAGACGTCCTGGTCGTGCTCTGCGCTTTTCGCTTTTTGATCTACAAAAGCATCTGCTATCTCTTTTTTTTATTTTCCACGTGTGGGGTCTCAAAACGATGAAATCGAAAAAAAAACCTGCTCGGTCTCCACGAACAGCAAAGTATAACGCGTGGCTGTGATAAGACAAAAACTCGGCGGCTACATTTCGCAAGAAACCTTTCCCTTTTCCACTGTCTTCCCACCACTTCATGTTCAACAGTAGCACCCGCCTCTTCCAATTCAGCGCCTACTAAACAAAATACGTATGCACTTTGCTAGATGCGGTGATTGGCACACACACATGCAGTAGTTTGGTCACTAATAGCTACCTATCGACTCCTCCCTCTCTTGCTATCTTCCTGCTAAACAAATTGGGCACAACCGCTTTTCCCGCTTTGGACTTTTGCGGGCACGCCTGGCGTCGTTTGCGTTGCGTCTGTGGCCTGGGCCATCGTTCATGCTTGCTTTTTGCTCGGGGTTGCGTCTTTGCAGCATGCAAGTGTCAACCTCATGCACGTAAGTAGGTTGCATTGGGGGCTAATGCTCGGCGATGGGGAGGATCAGAATAGAGGCAGAAATTGAAAGAATTACAAAAAACAAGGCTAGAAAAATACTTGCCAAGAATAATGATTGCTAGCTACAGTGCAAGGCGTAATACAACATACGACATAGTCTGTTGCTGCATTGACTTACTTGTGATCGTTATCATCCCTGGTGGCTGGCGTTGTCTGGTGCTAGACACAAACCATGGGAGAGGAGCTGATTATTGTGCCCTTCCGTCGTGATAACATTTTCAACGACAGCCATTCAAGCAGCCCGTGGTAATTTGCCTACGAAGAGATGGAAATTCCCTGTAACGCTTGCTCTCGTGCTCTTCTGCTCTGCTTCTGTTGCTTTGGATAGAGCGTTGCCCGAGTTCGGAATAATAATGCGATTAATATAAATTGAATCGACTTTCTGCAACAGCGCCACCACGCATTTTTCTCCACGTGGAGTGCAGCCTTGGCTGTGCAAATACAGAGCTAAACAATATTTTCTGTACGAGTAAGACGAGACGCAAAAGTAATATAATACTATGTATTCGTCGAGAAGATAGATTACGGAGGACGGAGTACGGTGTACACAGCTGGAAATAAAGATAAAACCACTCCGTATAAACGACGAGGCAAACAGGACCTGACCTTGCCCTTTTCTTAAAATGGCGTGTCCTCGTGCTGTCACAAAAGATTTGCTTCTTCTGATAGTGCAAAAAGCGATTTGCCAATACCCTGTCAACACGCCCCTCCATTTTGTCTTCCCTTCCATGAAGGCCTGGCCAGGCCAGGGCAGGGCCCTCAATATCGCCTAAAAATGAGCTATGGGTAGCTGGTTGGGATCCGCCCAGAGCTTCCTTTTTCAGTCCCTTGCCCAGAAAACGAAACAAAACATATGGCGTCGTCGACTATTTTTGAACCAGGTTTCTCCGCAAAAAAAGGGGCCCCTTGTCGTTTCCCTTGTCCTCACCTCTACTGTGTTACCCCTCCTGCTCTCTTCCCTTCCTTCAACCATGCCATGGCCACTGAAAGGGCCAGTCTCACTCACTGTGTTTTCACTGAGCTGTTTTTTCTTTCTCTCTCGATGGACGGGGAAAAAAGATGGAGACATGATTCGCACCCTAAAGCGATGTGCACACATTCTCCGTCTTTAGTCCGCCTGGGTCCGTTGAAGAACAGACAGCGCCTTTGCCTTTGACACCAAACCCCTCCAAAGTATATCGTAAAACACACTGCAGCCAAAGCATTGCCACGCAACGAAAGTTTCAGAGGTATTTCAGAAGGCAAGAGAGGGAGAACGAAGGAAGACACGACACATGTCAAGTTGGATGTAGTGCAATGGATTGTAAGGGCTTTTGTTTTTGTGATGCACTTTCCCTGTTCACCAGGGGCTTACGACCTCTCAAATCAGAGCCAGCTGAGCCAACCTATGAGATGCCATCCGAAGAGCCTCGTAAACACATTTGTCCATCTCTCGGATTAGGGTGGTCTTTCCCTTGAGGTTAATGGCACCGACCACTGCCAAATTGTGCTGAGTGCTGGTCTGGCCTGGCCGGTTGGCAGAGGCAGGGAAATAAAGCTGGTACGACAAATACACTACGATGCGCCCGCGTGCGAATGTCGTATGTATTCCGTGACTGCCTGGGGGATCTTTTGGACGCCGAATTACAACGTGTCCACCATCCCCGAATGGCATTACCCGTATCGTATGTCGTACTTGTCGAAATAATCCAACCCAATAATAGAGTTACATTTCCATACTGGCTGCTTATTTTACCGATCAGACAGCGCGTGTCTGCGACTTCCTCTTTGGGCCTGCCGCAGCGCGTTTGGCTGTAGAAGCGGATGAAAAGAAATGAATTCAAAAAAGGTTGATGACATGTCAGGAAAGACGAAAGAAAATATGACGGCGTGTCGTCTTACTCGGCCACAAATTATTGCGTGTATTTTAATGGCCTTATGTGTGGATTGAAAGAACGAATGTATTTTGAAAATACGGAAACTTTTCCTGCTTTGTAAGGAAGCTCCAGCAAAACCAAAGTCAATAAATGACAAAACCGAAGCGAAAGAGTTAGGGCCTGCATTCTCTCTCTTTCCACCGTAGTACTGTAAGGGTATCATCTTTGTTGCACAAATTTGTCCTCCCCCAAAACCAAATGAGGTGTAATTACCAAACAGCGAAATGGTATCCAGAAACAAACTCTTTCCTAAGTTTCCATAGAGGCCTGTGCCTCTCGTTTAACTTTTTGTAGACCTTTTCTTTCATGTTCCCATGAACTGAACTGACAAAAGGGAGAAATGTTCGAGAAAATGCGCAGACTTTTGGAAAAACGTAAAACATGTGGAAGGTAATAATAATGGCGATATGAGAGGTTTCGGCCATCTCCAAACACAGCCCCAGTGAAATAGCGAGAGAGTCCCGTTGTACCTCTCATGTGCGTTGTAAACAGCATTATTTTGCCTCTTCATAACAAGATATGGAAAAAGTGAATTAGTGGATTTATGGAGAGGAGTGGAGAAAAGAGGAAATATGACGGGTGAGGAGCGGAGGGTGTGTTATGGTGTGTGGGAGGGCATGGTAATCATATATCAATTTTGTATTTGCTTTGCGTCCTGAATGGCCGTGGCACGGGTAGTTGTAGATTTCTCGTCCCTTTCGGCTGAGTTTCTGTGTGATTTGGTTCGTGTTGGTAGGATAATGAAGTGACGAATCTGAAAAATAGAAAAATCGGTGATACTGTGTATCGTTTGGACAAAACGACGTTTCCTGTTGCCGGGCGTGATGACCTTTGGCGTTCGTAAGACAAACGGTTGAGGCTGTGCTTGCGTGGTTTCGCCGTTATAGCGTCCCACAGGGCCGGTATGGTCGTGTGGCACCGCTCTTCCATTTTTCTCGCTTTCCTTGCTGTGCTCTGTGTATCACCTTTCAGTAGGCGGTGTTATCGAGCAATGCCGACTTTTCGGTGACTTTTTGCCACTTGGGTGGCAGCAGGTGTTCTTGCTGTCTGACACTCGACCAGTATGGCGGAGAATTTTGTGTATGCTGTGGAAGCTCGCTGTCCAACCTGGGCGGCGTGCGAAGGCTCGGACTGCGACGTGGCCACGGTGCCAGGCGCATATTGTCGTTGGTGTCGGCATCATCACGGCTGCCCCATGACGTCTAGAATCGAAAACGGTCAGCTGGCTATTTTTGCGTGGTGAAAATAAAATAAAAAAATCCAAAGAAAGGCAGCTAGAGGGCCACGAGTGCCATACCGTTCTATGAGTAAAGAGCGTGTAAAGCTTGATGATGCCGTGGAAATAACCAAAAACAATCGACACCGGTAGGAACTTGAGGTCGCTCGGGTTGCGGAGGAAAAGGCCCATTAGTTTGACCACTTTCGTGAAGCCAAACATGAAGCCAATCTGCGCCAAGATCGCATACCGGCGAAAGGTGGGATCCCAGTCCTCAGTTGCCCGCCAGCACGAAAACAGTAGCAGCGGATCGACAGCGAATGCAAGCGATGTAAACGTCGCAATGTGGAGAGCATAAGTCGACCAGGGTTGGCGCCTGCGATTAAGGTCAGAAAATGATTAGCAAGTCTGCAGCGAAACTAGTGTCCAGGCCGTGCTCTTCGTCCCACTCCCTGTCATCCCCAACTCGGATCAGGGGTATGGATGTCTTGTTTTTTTCGAAGACTTGGAGTTTTTGGAGCACATGAAAGGATCACAGAAAAAACCACCCACCATCCATCCCCAACAGGAAAAGGAGAGAAAACTCACGTCCAAACGTATCTGTCTGTCACGAGACTCGTATAGTTGCTTCGCCAGTTGCTGCGAGCCCAACGAGAGCACTGGTAAAGGAACTTGGCACTGTTTTCAAGCGTCGTTTCCACCTCGCACTCCCGTTCGTACTGCACCCACGTATTCCATCCGTGGTTGACTAGCCAGCGGGTCACAAAGTTGTCGTCGTCCGCGTTGAGAATGAACTTGCCCCAGCGCTCCGTTTGGAAGCCCTCGAGAAACTCATGGCTCTGAAGGATCTCCGACCGGTAGGCACCGGTCCGCCCAGACATGCATGAGGTGCCGCCGTCGATGTTGTGAGTCGCCGAAATTTCAAAGTTGCGGCGCTCAATGTAGGCCGCCCCAAGCCAGTTGAAGATGCGAGTCGACCAAGCTCCCGTCAAGATGCGCTTGACGCGCTGGCAGGTACCGACGCCTCCGATTTTGTCGTCCTCAAAGGGGGCCAGGATCCAGGGAATCAGAGTATCGGGCCAGGTGACATCGTCGTCGGCCATGATCGTGATTTCGGTTTCGACCTTGGGCAGCGCAAGGCATACTTGTAGCCGCTTGTTGGCGACGCTCGTGCACATCACGCGGATGCTCTTGTATCCGGATTCGCGGAGCGAGTCGGCCAAGTCCTCGAGCGCATCGATCTTGCTTGCTGTTGTCACTAAGAGCAGCTCGTATGGGTCGCATGCAATGATGCTTTCAAGAGACGGCCGGAGCTCCTCAAAGGTGTGGTGGATTGTAGGAATAACGACAGTGACGTCTTTGGATGAGTATTTTGGGTTTTCTAGAATTGGTCTGGACTTGTAAGTCCAGTGGCTGACGCAATGGACGAGCAAACGAATGTATCTATGCAACCTATCACCAACAAATGGTCAGCTTGCATTGTAAAGGTACCAGCTCGATAATTGGCGAAACTTACCATACGATGCAAAATATATACGCCCAGAAAGTTGTGGATCGTAGAAATGCCGGAATCGGCAGACTGAGCGGCATGGAGAAACCTCCCACAAAGTTTTCAACAGACATGATTCTTGAGAGGGCAATGACTCCTTTGAGATCAATTGGGATGTCTAGGTCTCAACGTCTCATGACCCTCTTCTCTCCAGTAGTTCCCTGTCCGTTGGAAGTCAGGCTAGGGCAAAACATAAGTTGGAAACAAAAGACTAGCAAGAGACTTCGTTGCGGTAGAGCAGACGAAACACACGTTGGTGGTCGGCAATTGCTTTCTAGCCAACCTGCTCGCCTTGGCTTGTCGTAGTCAGGTCGGCGAGGATACGGCTGCTTTGTTTAGGTTACTGGACGCGAGAGTAATAAAGGTATTATACCAGCCAGGCCTGACTGGGAAGGCCGTCGTATAGGGCTGTTGGTATAAAAAGAGCCTCAAAACGAGAGTGTAGAAAACTTTTGTTTTTCAGTCGAAGGGGCAAAGAAGGAAAGGAGCAAGGCCGGCTTGGATGCTCCAGATGAGAAATAACAGAACTAAGCGAGGGTAAATCGCCAAGTCTCGTCCGAGAGACGAAGGCAGCAGGCAAAGGAATTAAAACAGAAAATGCAAAACAGGCTTCATAAGTGCAATGACAAAACAAAAGCAAAGAACCGCCCAAAAGAACCCCAAAAGAAACCAAAAGGTTGAGATAGGTGCTGGGTGAAGATCGAGAAGAGCCGAAACAACTTCACCTGGCCACAAGATGGAAAGTAAAGGGAATAGAACAAAAAGGGAGAGAGCAGAAAGAAGATGGAGGAGAAACCGAGATATTATATGTCTCTAGCCTAGAGAAACATGGCCCGATGCATTGTTCCATTTTATTTTGTCATACATTTTTTTGGCAAGCCAGGAACATCAGGACATGCAAAGGCACCAAGAAGTGTGTTGCAGCATTGGTGGAAAAGGTAATACAAAGCACACACAACAAACTTGAACGGGACAAAGCCAGAAGGGGCTAGACCGCGGCGTGTGAGTACTTCGCAGTTTCTGTCCTCCGTAGTGTTGTATCAATATGGGTAGGGAGTAATAAGTTGTGTGCATGCGTGGGCCCATGTTTTGGGTATTTGCGGCTAGACAAAAACCACGCCCATACCAGGTCAACCTCAGCCCAGCAACTTGCATGGTCCATATTCATACGGACTGGCAAGATGCTGCATATCTGTGGCATTGCGCTGCAGGTACACGCACGATTGATCTGCTTATGACGTACACCCTCTAGTCTTGTTGCCTGTCGTGATTGTGTTGCGTTCATGTTTCTTGCGTTACTGACATACGTGTGCTTGTTTGACAGCCACGTTTGCGCAGATTGCTCTGATTGTTTGGTGTGCTCCATGATCTTTCCCAGGAGCCAGGACGCCGGCAAGTTATGTCCAGTAACACTGCAGCGAGGCGTACGCGCGCGGTAGAGCGTATTGAGGATTGGAAAGACTAAAGTACCTCATACAAGTGGCCGTTCACATGATTGCTCGCCCAAACCCTCCGAAGCGTCAAATCAAATGATTATGAACCAGGAAGGTGATGATAGCAAATTGCAAAGAGGGGAATAGAAGCGCAAGGACCAGCGAGACAGTGCTAAAAGGCAGGTGGAACCTTACTAGTTGAACTTCGTTGACAATGGAGCTGTTGAAGTCCCGCCGATGATGGTTGTGTCTTTAACAGTCTCCTCTGCAGGCCGCCTACCTGAGCAGGTGTAGGCGTATAAAATACAACGCAACCATATTCTGGAGGACCGACGGCGATCTGACAGCGCATGGCTGTGTAGGTAGTTTTCAAAGTTGCAGGGACCAGACGGCACTAAGACGAAGAAGGGTGTTATTTCCTCGGTCGCCATCTGCTTTTTGCCCCATGTGTTCTGGCCGAGTTAGATACTGGTTCACAGCCGGGGTATGGTATCTATCGTTCCCCAACCTGCGCAGATTTGAATGGTGGACGTAGCTGTCCTTGTATTATTGCGAGTTTCTTGTCGATGTTGACGCACAGTCGCCAGCCTTCTCCGCAACCGTCGTGCTTGATTTTAGCCAGCGTTGCAACTTTTTCTTGCACAAAATTCGTTATCTGAGCAATTGGCAGTGAATCTCGGCTGAAGGCGCTTGACGCAGGGTTTAACACGGCCAGGCCAGGCGAGGTCGGTTCCAAAGTCGACAGAACGAGCAGTACAGCTACTGGCTCCAGAACACTTTCTCGTCAAGGTCAAGCCGCCTCAGCTGCATCAGACCATATCTGTGGGGCTGTGGCGGCTAGGCGTGCAGGATGAGAGAAACATTCTACCCTCAACTGTCTGCAGTGTAAATCAGAAACAGCGCGCACGCGAGGTGGAGCGTAGAGGGGAAGACGGCGGTTGATTGCTGATGCCGGTTTAATACGAGGGCTTAAGTCGGGAGAACATCAGTGAATAATAAGTAAATCGACAGCGGGCCGGATGGCAAGAGGTCGGCAAGATCATCCACAGTGGGTGTTTCAACAATGCGTCGAAATCCACAAATATCTGCGAGACAAGTCAGCAGCTGTTCGCGGAAAGGCTCTTTGCACGAACACTTAAAAATTTCCCTCAAGCTCTTGCGGCTCTGGTGGCATGGGCTGTGACTTTCAACCTCTTCTCGCGAGACATTCACTCTTTGCAGAACAGGGCGAGGCCGGGGTGACCAAACGAATGGCATGCCAGGACGGCAAAACTGTCTAGAAGGTCTGGTTGAGGCAGGGTTGAACGTCTTGACTTCCGGTCCTTCTCATCGCTGTCAGTTGGTGAGAAGTCGCTATTGCTGCAAGAGAGTGGATAAGGCGGGGGGGGGGGGTTTCTCCATACGAAAACGGAAGCACCTCTCAAAGGCAGAAAAAGACTAAAAGAACAGTAACTAAAGCCGCAATGTGAGTCTCAGGTCAGTTTAAGGCGACGGGCGTGTGGAAGAATCTGCGGCTCGATGGTTACTGTGCAAACATCATCCAACGAAGTGCTCCGAAAGTCGGTTGTTTTCGATGAACATGTACAATATACCTGTTTCGTGCATACCACAAGACGCATTGGCAACTGAGCCGTGCCATCGAAAATAACAACGGGCGGCAGAGGTGGTGCACAAACAAAGGTCTGCCGCTTCCCTCTATCAATGCTCAGCTTCCTCGCCAAAAGCCCAGGTGATTCGTTTCTCTCTTCATGTTTATAACATTTCAAAGGAACAAAATAGACATGTGCATGTGCGCCGGCCATTGTGGCTCGCGCTCTTTGAAACTGTCGTGAATTTTTATATGCATTGAAAAGGTGTCGGAAACAATCTCGGCGCACGGAGGATGCTGTTGGCCCGTTGTAACAAGGGTCCCCGCAGCCGTTCATCGCTCCGCGATTGCTAGTCAGCGGGATGAAAAAAAAGGGACCAGGCGCAAATAAAAAATGGCAAGCAATGGTGTTGAATTCAAACACGCAATTTTGACTGACGCTATTCCGCAGTGTTGGTGTAAAAAGAACGACGATTCGTCGAAGCGCATTGTAGGGACATCTGACGAGCAAGGCCTTCTGCTGGATGTCAATAACATAAAATGGCGTGCAGGGGATGGGAATGTCTAAGCACCTTGCGGCCAATGGACGTGGTTACTTGCTATATGAGCCATGCGCCCAGTCCCCCGTACTCCGTTCCATTTGGCGACCGGCCGGTACAACATATTTCTCTTAGCATGTTCACACTTCGCTCCGCCTGTTTCGTTCATTTGGCGTCCGGTGTCGACTTCCACCGCTGGCCCTTTATTTGTGAGAAACACATCGCAGAAGCCAATGTTGAATTGCGCCGTGCCGCCCGCCGCAGCAGGGGCATACGCATGAGGCTTATCAACTGCTGTTTGGCCTGGCCACTCTGGCATCCGCATGTGTATGTCGAAGATTCGCAGGTCGCTCGGCGGCGTGGTCCGCCTCAAGCACGGACGGGTGGCACGGGCTTGTGGCGCTATGAGAGAGATTGCTCCAGTGGTACAAAAGACAGTCAAAATCAAAATCAAAGACAGCAGTCTGCGTGCTCAGAGTGTCCGTCCTCGATGCGACGGTGAAAAGAACCCTGCAGGGCAGAAATGGTTAGGTTGGCAAGCAATGCACGACACTGACAGGGGCTGGCGGAAACACTGATCATACTTTGCACTTTGTAGCTTTCTTGTATGTTCTTGTATGCGGCCGTCTCCGAGAACCATCCTGATGTGTTGATGAGGAGCAATGCATGTCGTTTGTCGTCTGTTATCACCCTCGCCAGTGATGGTATTTTGGACAAAATGTTGAGACGGCGGCGAGGAGACAACATAGGGGAGAAGTGCGGAAAATATGTCATGTTGTAGCGCAGGAAGGCGCATGCTCCTTCCTCGCGACATCGCTCATTCTTAAATGAAACTCGTTTGTGGTTGTACTGCACCTTCCTTTGTTGTAAATTTCCCGGCCGCTCCTCCCTGATCGAGAAGAAGAGGTGCATTAGAGAATACTCGAGGAAGGGAGGTGCTACACATTGGATACTTACGGCAGGTGCCGGTGATGCATTACTTCCCCTGAAAGTTCTTGCCAAAAACGGCGTTCATCTTCCTATCGTCAGTTCACAGAATCTGTTCCCTTTGTTGTATATTTTTTGTACCCAGTAGGATTTTTGTTTTGGGCGCTTGGTAAAACTCCGGTTGCAATTTTGATAGGATTCAAATCGGCTCGAAGTCATGTTGACTCTTTCTGCGTTGTGAAGCATGGTTATCTAGAGCGGTGATGGTAAGCAGCAAGAGACTTACTCCTTCTGCGTGGTACCACTTCTGTTCATAAGGAAGGTATTGCGAACCATTGAGAATTTGTTTGACTTCACACAAGTACAGACATTGAAGCCTTTGTACACGAGTTCTATTTTGTGGCCTCGGTGACCTCTTTCTTTCTTTCTTTTCTCTACTTTTTATTAAACATAAGACGCTCCAAATATATATTGCCACAGTGCGAGTGGCATGAAACCAATATAAATTCCAAAGACAATGAGTGCCCTTAAAAACTTTCCTGCTCCCCTGTTGGCAATCGAACAGTCTTCTGTCATCATTCTGCCAT